AGTAATAATTCAATTTCCTTTTTGACATAGATTACGATCTCAAATTAAACCAGATTTTTGGGATCTTATTTTCGTTATTACGTATTTCTTTTTGGTACGAATAATTGGATTTTTCTATTTTTGGTAACATTTCGATAATTATTATTTTCTAGCTATTTAACCCTGTTTGTGGGTTATTTTCGTCCAATTTTTGAATAATAAAGATTTTCTCATTTTTCTTGATGTTATTCTCTTGCGTTCTTCTCTGTTATTATCTCTTGGTTCCAGCCTGCAGAATAATCACTATTTTGTCTGGCGTCAAAATGACTTCGAGTTATTCAAAGGTGCTAAATTTGGAATCTACTTGTGAATATAGAGTAATATTACCCGTATTACAAAGGAGGGAGAGAAGGATTGAGACTCATTGCATACAAAATGGAAATGCAATAGATTGGAGGGCAGAAATAAAAAGACTCTTGAAAGAACCTGACAAAGAGAGTAATAGGAAAATGAAGTTATGATCATTGAACTACATATTGATAGATGATGAGCTATTCAAGAAACACTTAAATGGTGTGTTATTAAAATTTGTGAGTTCTCAAGAGGCCAAAACGATCATGCCTGAAGTGCATGAAGAAATACGTGGAGCCCATCAAGCTAGCCAAATGATGAGATGGTTGATTGTTAGGAGTGGATACTTTTGGTCCAAAATGGGATAATTGTGCGTTCAGTACTTATAGTTGTTTAGCATGCCAAAGCATGGTCCAATACAAAGAGTGCCAACAAAAGAAATGACGCCCATTATTAAACTTTGTCAGTTTAAAGGTGGGCGATAGACTTGATAGGGAAGATTTATCCCTCTTCGTCCAAGCAATATACATTTATAATAGTTGCGACAAATTTCTTTACTAAATGGGTAGAAACAATACATTTAAAAGAAATTTCTCAAAAAAATGTTATAGACTTTATTCATGACCACATTATTTATAGATTTGGTATTCCACAAACTTTAATGGTGGATCATGGAACTTCTTTAAATGAAGATCAAGTGACGGAATTCTTTAGCGAGTTTGGAGTTAAGCTAGTAAACTATACCCCTTATTATGCTCAATCTAATGGACATGGAGAATCTTCTAATAAGATTCTAAAGATATCATAAAGAAAATGATAAATGAAAATGCCAAAAATTGGCATGAATGTTTGAATAAAGCCTTATGGGCTTATAGGACGTCACCACGATCAAGTACCAAAGTAACTCATTTTCAACTTACTTACGGACAAGAGGCTGTGTTGCCTATGGAAATCAATGTGTAGTCAGTTAGAGTAGGCTTACAAAATAACTTAAGTAATGTCGAGTATGCCAAATCATTAGCCCAAAATTTATTGGAATTGGACGTCCTAGATAGATTGCAGGTTCAAAAATGAAGAATGGTTAAATTTTATAACAAAATAGTTATAGCTAAATCTTTTAGCTTGGACGAGTTGGTTTGGAAGACAATACTCCATTTGGATAGTTAAGATCTAAAGTACGGTAAATGGTCACCATATTGGGAAGGACCATACAAAGTGAAAAGT